GTATTGTTTTTTTTTTTTTTTTTTTTTTTTTTTTTTTTTTTTTTTTTTTTTTTTTTTTTTTTGCTTTTTCATTCCTACAAGTGTAGCAATGGTTAAGTGGTGAATTAATTGTGAGTGCTAAATTAATTCCATTCTCTCTGTCTTCCTGACATTTAACCTATGGAGCTTTACCTGTCTTGCATAATTATTTCTATTCTTAAGATTATCTATTCTACTGAAGTCCTTTGAAGTCATTCTAGGGCTTGAACATAATTTCACAGTAACGTAACGGTAACAGAGCTAATCTGACTGGAATGTCAGACACCAATCATCCTCTTTATGAGTGGTCATTATCATAGGTTCACATACATGCATTTCATCAATAATATGGCTTATTTCCACTACTTGTTTAATAATGTTTTTTTTAATAAGACTTTCTTTATTAACATGACTTTATTAAGATGAAAATCAGTTTACATTTTAAGTGTAAACTCCTAAAAAAAAATCCAAAAGACTTTTTTTCTTCCAAATTTTTTCATCACACTCAGGGGAAAAAGTCCATAACTACATCTTATTTTATTCTGCCAACTGCACAAAGCACAATTCAGTGTCACAAAACAATTAGTTATGACCACAGAGACACTTTTCCACAAAACAAATCAGTAAAACATTCACCAACAAAAGCTGCCATGCTGTTCAAAGCCTACATAATGCTTGGGGAAGCAAAGTGTTCCTTGGTTCTAATTTTAAACACTCATGCACAGTCTTCTAATGATACACTCAGCAGTCCAAAATATATGGAGAAAAGAAGAAGCAGTAGGTTAATGTTATTAGGGAAAAATCTTCAAAGATACAAGATTAGAAAGTTACAGTCAATCGAGGTGGTTTAAGAATCCTCCTTCCTTTACTTTTACCTGAGTTTTACCTGAGAGGGGACTTCGAACACATCACACAAATGTTCCGTTCACAGTAAAGAACTTAAATGCCATTCTTAACTTTATTTGAGAATGATATGTACACTTACTGGCTTCTTTAACAGGAACACCTGTCAGCCAATCATGTAGCAGTTGCGCAATACATAAAATCATGCAGCTACAGGCCAAGAGCTTCAGTTAATGTTCATATAAAACATCAAAATAGGGAAGAAATGTGATCACAGTGACTATGGTATGGTTTGAGTATTTCAGAATCTGCTGATCTCCTGGGATTTTCACTCGCAACAGTCTGTAGAGTTTACACAGAATGGTGCGAGGAAAAAAACATCCTACGAGTGGCATTTCTGTGAGTGGAAGAGCAAATAATCATGCTTTACAGCCTCAGATTCCTGTTCTTGGCTGACAACAGTCTTCTGCTGTTGTAGCCCATGCATCTCATGGTTTTGCATGGTGTGCATTCTGAGTTGCTGAGATGAATGAGCAAGTGTACATCTGCTTTTAAAGTGCCTGGTGAATGCACATTTCAGATATCAGACACTCAAAATATACTGTCGTTCTCCTGCATTTTTCCTCTCAACCACCTCACATACATACAAACTAGCTGTAACCCTGAAGAACTTTGTAACCCTGCAAGAATTAAAATTCATTCTTAGCAATGTCCACAGCAAACATTCTGATATTTCTAGCACAAATCTTTAACCATTACCCTTAAGTAACTCTTGTGTTTAACCATTACTGAAAGGTCTTGCATTAGAGCCACAATGTAGCTACAAGTTCTTCTGTTTCACATCTCACCCCATGACAGGCTGTGTGTCAGTGATATACCACCTTAATTCAAGGATCCCTACACATGTAATAGCCACATTTACCATGTTTATTGCTTTAAACTTGCTGGCATCTGACAGGTGAGATTCGATGTTGCAGGACAAATATTCCAAAGAGGGCCATCACTGCCATACCACTGCTCAAGCTCAGGTTGAAGCACACTCTATTTTACCTGAGTTACTGTTATCTATTGCATAAATGTTTCTCTATGGGTTAAATTAGAGCTTTTCAACTCTCACAGATCCCACACAGCTTTTCAAGGTCCCAATGAGTTTTAGTTTTTTCCTGCTATAACACCAACTGCTCTTTCTTCTTTAATTATTAAAACACTGTATTCAACTAATTAGGCTTAGGACAATTATGGCACTTGAGTTGCATGTACTGTGCACTAGCCCAACCATGGGCTCCAGCTATTTTTGGGGGGGGAGTTTGCAACAACTACAGCCACAGACAGCAGTTGCTTCTGTGCAGATGAGATATTTTTTAAACATTACACAACCAAATCTGACTAAATTGGGCATGGAGTAAACACTGCAGATTTTCTAAAAGATACAGACTGCCAAATTTAATATAGAATCCTATAAGTCAGCACAATCATAAAGCATACAAAAATAAATAGACAAAGACAGAAGGAACAACTCCTAAATATTCCCTGTATAAAAACTACAGCAAGGCAAGTGCAACTGCTGAGTTAGATTCTCTCTCTCCACTCATCACCATATTTATATCAGTGACCCCATAACTACATACTATACTCTAACAAGAACATCCAATTATACAAGCCTGTACCCAAAGAGCCACAGCGCATAGCTACAGACATACCACCTGTAGGTAGACCTTCATTAAAACATTCACTTACACATGTCTGTATTACATTACACATGCGCACGCATACACACACAAAACCAAATAATGATCTTGTACATTGTTAGTGTTATTTCACGTTATATTATTCTTATTATTTTGCCATTATTTTCATTGTTGTATTTGTGTTCCTTTTTGTCCTCTGAAGAGTGGTATTCATGGTACCATTGAGAAGGGCTTGAGTATTGTCATCACATAGCACTGCACTGTGGGATTGATGTGCCATGTGTAGACTTAGTTAACCTCCAACGTTTATACTGCACAAATAATGCAAATAGCGTCTTTTGTATTGGTTAAGACAAATTAAACTATATCGGGGTGTCCAAACTTATCCGTCACAAGTTCTGGTGTGGCTGCAGGATTTCATTCCAACCAAACAGGAATCACACCTCATTCCTCGACTTTTGTGCGTCTCGTATTTAGCTAGGAAGAAAACCTACAGCCTGCATAATATTGAACACCTCTGGACTACATGAACATAATTACGGAGATCTGTAAATCAATCTTCTCTCTCCTTACTTTTCTTTTGTTTTGTGTGTGGCTCAAGTGCTTATTCTTTCAAGCCATTCAAAAAATCACTAGAAAAGTCACTCAACGCTCATGTACAATTCATAGCTTGCTAGCTGCTGTGGGCATTCCAGCTCTGAGTCATCATTTGGCTCAGTTTATGAATCATTTGGCTTCCAAACAGTTCGGTGCCATTTTTTTTCCCAAAGCCATACAAAGTTTATGATATTTTGGCAAGAGATTGTTTTTCTTCACCTAACTATGATTGAATTTGTTTAATGAAAACTTCTAGCTCCTAGTGAACAAAATAGCCTTACTTTGCATCGCATTTTATAAAATGTTTAAATATGTGTAATATCAGCAACCCACTACAAACATGCATTGTCAAATACAGTAAGCGTCCCTGCATTAATGTTATTGTACCTGCTGTGTTTGTGCTTCAATAAGAAGAACAGTAAAGTAAACATGCTTGACTGACTTTTAGAAAACA